ATAAACGTGCATCAGCGTGTGAATGTGTTTCCCACTTCTACCTGCAGCAAAGGCCGCTTAAACTCCAGCTGCCAATTTGTTCAGTGACAATGCGGGCTTGCTTCTACATGTGCACGTTCCCCTCGACTGTGAGAGCACGAGGGCGTGACTGGCTGTAGCCGTTTTGTCTTTGTCATTTTTCCCTCCAGTCCAAACTGTCAGTGATAAGCACTGTGTTAAAGTCACTCTAATGAGCCACTCAACACGACCAGACCCCAATAAAATATTTGCATAACAATCTTTTTTAGTAGATAAATTGCCTTACTTTTTATAGTGGGCGTGCAGCCCCCTCACCTCCCCATTGTTTTCTTTTTATAAGCAGATATCACCGCAGCATGTGATGATGCTTCTTTGGATGTGAAGTGTGCTAAAGGGGGGAAAGCAGAAGTAACTGGAGATGTTATTTTTCCAACTTCTCTAAAATCACTAGATCCTATCAGAGCCACCACAGTCAATGCCGGAGCCAGAGGAAGTGAAACACAAAGATATTAGCAGGCCACAGGCCTTGTCGTCCTCCTCCTCCCCAGAGAGGGGTCTGATCTCCAACCCTCAACACTCCCTTGTTTAAACACGGCTATTTTTTTAATGAATATCCCAGCCAGGGACTGATATAACCCAACTAAAGTGCTTAAAAGGTGCAGATTGTTCCATGCTCTGATTACAGTCTCTTACATGCGTGCAGTCAGTCAATGAAATTCAAACTGAAAACCACAACACGAATGCCAGGACAGTAACGGCTTCTTTTTTTCATGCTTTGTTTCCAGTAAATTTACTTCCTTTATTTTATGTCCACTCCTCCATACCGTAAAAATCACACGGTTAAATAATCTAATTGACCATTTAAGGAAAATATTGATCCTATTGGAGAGGCTTGTGCTTTTGTAGTGATCTGAAATATAATTGTCACAGTATGGTGGTTTTTCTTTTGTTTTGTTTTGTTAATTTATTACTGCATAACATTGTAGTTTTCCAAGGTCGAATATTAAAAAAAGAAACTAAATATTTACATTTGAAATTGAGAAATTTCTATTTTGCTTTTTTTTTTTTTTAAAGGAAAAAAAAATCCATGATCATATATTGATGATGATGATGTATGGAGGGTTAATTTGAGAGTCATTGCCATTTTTTTTCCACTAATCTTGTTCCACCAGTGCTGAAAGCAAATAATGGTTAATTAATTTATAATTTAAAAAAGTAAATCTGGGGGCTGGACAAAAATAAATAACTCCTTAATTAATGAGAGATAAGATGTCAGCTTTGTAGTTTTCCTATGCCTCATTTAATGTTTTGTTTTACTCGTAATAGTAGTAGTATTACACAGTTGTAATTGACATGTTTCAGGTAGAGTTGCTTTATTAATTTAAACTGGAATAATATATATTTAATGTGATTACACATTGTATTTCCCAATAATTACATAAAAAATGTTTTTTAAAAAAAGTCATACCATCCAGTTGTTTAAATGAAATTAGAACGAAATTAATCAGAAAACTATGGAAGTTTGTTTCCACCACTGGAAAAAAAACCCTAAACAAATAAAAAAAACCAAAAAAACAAAGAAATAAGTCAAAATTTTAAGACAATGACCTGAAATCTTGACTTGGCTCTATGAAGAAAAAAAAAAAGAGAAAATCTGTGGCAGCAACAAACAGCAAAGTGCCGAATTTGGGTTAACACCCATTCGTTTCTGTTTAATGATTAACAGTTAATGAAATTCAGTGCTGAGCTTTCCTCCAGCTGAATCGTTGTTCTGGCAAAAGAAGAGCAGGAGGGAGTTTATAAATAATCTGCAACAACGCCTCCTCGCTAACAAAGAAGAGAGGGTGGTCCAGTGTGACTGTACAGCAGAGTGCATCCACATATCAAACAGGCCTGGAGAGGAGAAAAAGCTGCTGCACTGTTTGGTATGAAACATGAAAACCACTCGGCAGACTTTCAGTGTTTGTGTTTATGTTTATCTTTGACATCTGGCCAGTGCCAGTGGCTTTTACCTGCTTTTAGGGTCAACTCCTGGTCAGTTTGATAACATTTGCTCAAAGCCCATGGTAGGGCCAGTAATGCATTCAGGTGTATGAGTGGCTTTAATACACGACTTACACCCAATAGGGGGCGACATTGTTTTACATAACAGCTTCTGAAGGTTTGCCATACCTGCATTACATTTTTATCCTGTGTATGATGTGAGAAAGCAAAAAAAGGCTTGTTGTGTCTGAACAGCTGCCCTGTTGTGTGACCCTCTTTTAGCGGTGGCAAACATAAGGCTCCGGTGCAAGAATCTGCCCACTAGTGACTCCAATCTGTCCCACTGGTCAGTTTTGGAAAATGTGAAGAAGGGGCATAAATCTTAGATCTCTAACTGTATTTTTACAACTTTTGCAGCTTTTGCTACTGATAAAGACCTTCCCCATGGTCAGTCATACTACACGAAAGCAAATAAAGTACATAAATAACAACTAAGTAGATAAACAAGTAGATGATGAAAAGTTTTTGCTTTTTCTCTACACTTTTTTTTCACTAAAATTTTCATCTATTGTAAAAATGCATGGGTTTTTTTCAGTTTTTTATTATTTTATGTATTTTATGATCACAGGACAGTCTGCACAATAAGCTAACAGAAACTTTACTGTCATTTTAAAATATTTATTTCCTTCAGTTTAAGCCAAGAGTCATGCTGACACACTTCTGCCATTAAATATAACAGTGTTTCTTTATCATGTAGAAAAACTAAGTTGAACTGGTCAAGTTACATTTACTAAAATGATTTTGTGAACTTGGAAAACTATCCATCCATCCATCTTCATCCGCTTTGTCCGAGGCCGGGTCGCGGGGGCAGCAGCCTAAGCAAAGAGGCCCAGACCTCCCTCTCCCCAGCCACCTCCTCCAGCTTGTCCGGTGGAATACCAAGGTGTTCCCAGGCCAGCCGAGAGATGTAATCTCTCCAGCGTGTCCTGGGTCTGCCCCGGGGCCTCCTCCCGGTGGGACATGTCTGGAACACCTCACCCAGGAGGCACCCAGGGGGCATCCTTGTCAGATGCCCGAACCACCTCAGCTGGCTCCTTTCGATGTGGAGCAGCAGCTGCTCTACTCTGAGCCCCTCCCGGATGGCCGAACTTCTCACCCTATCTCTAAGGGAGAGGCCAGCCACCCTTCGGAGGAAGCTCATTTCCGCCGCTTGTATCCGCGATCTCGTTCTTTCGGTGACTACCCACAGCTCGTGGCCATAGGTGAGGGTAGGGACGTAGATCGACCGGTAAATTGAGAGCTTCGCTTTTACACTCAGCTCCCTCTTCACCACGACGGACCGGTGCAGCGTCCGCATTACTGCAGCTGCAGCCCCAATCCGTCTGTCGATCTCCGGCTCCCTTCTCCCATCACTCGCGAACAAGACCCCGAGATACTTGAACTCCTCCACTTGGGGCAGGAACTCATCCTCCTTGGAAAACTAACGAAAATAAAACAAAATATGGAGGAAATACTCGTTTTAGTATTTGTTAGTCTGTTTAAAAAATGTTACAACTTGCCTGATGATCGACAAACATGATTAATAACAATTTGGACGTCTGCTTTACTGAGTCAACTGCTTTCAAGAAGTTTGTTTTTATTGTAATATTTGTGCTAATTTTCCTCAAACTTACGTGGGACATATTTCTTACATACAATAAGAAGTCATAATCAGTCAAAGTGAAATAAAAAATAAAAGCTAATTAGAAAACACAACTGTAATATCTCTTGAGGTGTGACAGGTAAAACAGGGATGTTCTTGTTTTATTTAGTGAGCCACATACAGCCCAGTTTGATATCAATGGGAGCCGGACCAGTAACAAAAAAAAAAAAAAAAAAAGAACTGTCAGTGTACAAACATTCAATTACACATTTAATCTCCAAGATATCTCAATGTAAGATAAAGTAGTGCAGTTTAAACATCATGGGCTTATATTGTAAGATATGGGTAAAATTACAGAAAAGGTTCTGATGGACTATTTTTTTTTTAATTATAGAACACAAGGTTTTTGTTTTAAAAGGACAGAAAAATGTCCCATCTACATTTCTACTGTAGATAGTGGGGGTGGGCGACGCAGTAATTTTCTGTCATTATATTTTTTAATATATTAAGTAATTACTCTTTCGTAGCATAAATGGCCATGGGGGAGGTCTTTATCAGCAAGAAGCTGTAAAAAAACAACAAAACAAAAAACATTAAAAGTCCAAATATGTCTGTCCTACTTCACGTTATCCAAAACCATCCGTTAGTCCGTATTGGAGTCTTTGTCGGGCCGATTCTGGGTCCCCGGGCCTCATGTTTGACACCCCCCTGAAATATATATATGTCGCATATATTGTTATAAGCAGCTTCCTCTCCGCCAATCAGGCGCCAGCCAGCCGCATGTGTTATGCAAATGAGCTATCTCGTCCTCCAATCAGCGGGCTGCTGGAGCTGTTTTCCCGCATGCATCAGGGAGAGAGGGAGCGGAGCTGCAGCCCGCCGCTTTCAGTCTTTGTGTGCTCTCTCCCGGCCGGTCGCCCGGAGAGCTGTGGCAGCACCCGGCTCTCAATAATGCGCTGTTTTTTCTACTTTTATACCGCCGGAGTCCAACTTTGTACACACGATGCGTCGCCTGCGGGGCTTTTAATGGACGGGATAGCATGAGCTCCCAGTGCTACCCGGTGGCGATGGACCTTGGCGTTTGTCAACTGAGGAATTTCTCGATTTCGTTTCTGTCCTCTGCGCTTGGGAAGGAGAGTGCATCAGTCAGGGTTGACAATAGGTAAATGTCAGCACTCTGTCTTTGAGGCTGTAAGCAGAAAATTAGAAGGGGGGGGGGGAAGGTACCTTTGCAGACTTCTTAAAATCCCTCTCAGCGCTGTCTTTAAGGGGAGAAGGAGAAAAACAACAGCCGCAGTGGTCACAGCTAATGTTGCATCATCATCATCAAACAGGTTTTCCTCTCTCTGTCTTGCAGCTCCTCGGGTGCAAGTGTGGTGGCCATCGACAACAAGATCGAGCAAGCAATGGTAGGTGACACTTTGTACCCCTTTTAAAAATGTATTTATTTTTAAACCATCTGCAGTATGCTTTCTGCACGTACTTGCAGCCCTGTGGTGTTATGTAACCCGAGCACCTACAGCGGTAAACTGTGCCCCTCCTGCCTTTTTATTTTCGCGTTTTCTTGCACTGCATGCAGTGTAGTGTGCACAGAGTGCTGGAAACTGGAAAGAGCTTTCTAGAAATTAAGATGCAGATGCCTCGGAAGGTTTTTTTGTTTTGTTTTGTTTTTTGCGCACTAGTGCACCTGCGGGTTTGCGGGGAAGCTTTCTGCTCTGTCGCGATTTGTCCCGATGACCCTCGAGCTCTCTGGTAGCTCAGTTTGAGTCGGGCTAAGGATTCA